TTTAAACCTTGAAGCTTTTCCACTAACTCTTTTGAGGATGAGTTGTCGAGTTCTCCTATTCTGATGGACTTGTGTCCATGTAGGGACATATCCAAATAGGCCAATGACTCCCGAGTGGTTAAAAGAAGTTTGACCTTTTCGCTACGGTTGAGAATATCTTTCAGCAGATTCACAGTCTCCTCTTTTACATTTGGCTCGCCACATTCAAGCAAATCATCGGCATTATCGAGAATCAACACGCATGGATCCGATAGCCTTTGAAAAATGAAACCAATTTCATCGGCAGGTGTCAAATTCTGATTTTCCGAGTCTCCGGTTCGAAAGTGGCTGAGTAGCTTTGAGGTTAAATCACCTTTTGACTTAAGCCCACGCAGTGAGATAAAGTAGACAGGTAGACCGCGATTTTGAAGCTGGTGACCAACAACGATTGCGGTAGACGTCTTTCCAAACCCGGGTGACCCCCAGACTGATACGAAACGGGTCGAATCCGAAGTCACGTGACCAATAATCTCTTCACATTCTTTTCCGCGGCCAATAAAGTTGGGAGGAAGATTAAGTCGTGAAGTATATGGTCTAAATCCTACATGGAAAGTTGGTTTTAGGTGAGAACATACAATTAAAGAAGCGGCTTTGACATGATAATTTAGTATGCACTCAAAATCTGTTTTGGTACAAGGGAAAGAAAAAGAAAAGAGAAAACCGAACAAACATAAATAGAGAAGACTCAACTGTGCTCTGTTGTGTACCTTGTGGTGGCATTAGCATGGAAGAGGCATCAGTCGAGTAGATTTTAGTTTTGTTCTTTGCATGCACATTTAATCATTTAACCTGTGTCACAAATGCGTTATACAGTAGTAAAGATTGAAATAAACTTAAAATCCAGACTTCATGTGACTTCTGATCTCTTTTTCACAGGTCACCCTCGTTCTTGCGCTGATAAACGCCATAGAAATGGATGAATTAGATGATGCAGTATTACTGTCTTATGAAAGTGTATATAAAAAAGTAAAATGTTGAGAAATGAAATTCTGAGTATTTTTTCACGCAGTTCCCTTTTGCCCCGTAACTAAACTTGTTTTCTCTTGGCATTATGCGCCAAGGAAACAAAACGTCTGTGAAGGACACTAAATCGTGAGTAATGTGAAAAAAGGTATTAAGCATCACCAAATCGTCAAATTGAACCCCGAAAACGCGTGGTTCAAATTGTGATCAGATCAGCTGTCATTTACCTGGAATTTGCTCCTTTATTAGGTATTCTTTCACATCTTGGCGTAACTCGGCAACAATCCTTCCTTGACTAGCAGCGATTGCCTCTTTCAGGTTCTCGGTGTCTTGTTTTAGCGATTGCTGTAGGTTGTGTAGCTCATCTTTAACATCTTCCCTGACAATTCTGTTTTGAGCTTGAAACTCTGCCAACTTGATTTCAATCTTTTCGTGGGTAGCAGCATTTTCAGATTTGATTGTTTTCCTTAGGTCTTCAGCACCTTCCTGATGAGATTGCTGTAGAAGCTGCAAGTCATCCTTAACTTCTCTGAGGAATTCGTTTCCTTTTTGAAGCTCTGTTCTGAAGTCATCTTCTAACTTCCGAACTTTCTCGGTAGGAAAGTCAGACTCAGTCAAACTTCCAACTGCATCAATGGGGCCAATACTAACTCCCAGGGCTTTGGTCGCGTCTTTAGCCAGTTGAATATATTGATCAAATGTTTTTTTGTCCAATTCGGATTTATTTAAATGACAGAGTGAATTTCTCAACATTCGAAGCTGATCGATCGCCAATGCAAAGGTTTCTGCTTTATCTCCAGTGGGGCTAACTACAGAAGAATGGAAAGTACCACGTGGTAACTTACAGGGCTTCAAGTATAAATCATGGAGTACCCTGTGATGGCCTTTGCTGTCTGGCAAAGCAAAGGAACGTGCATAGATGGTGGCCTGGATCAGGGCTGTACAATCCCATTCTTCGTAGGAGATATGTGTGGGGACCTTGGTTACTCCACCCTCAGTACTTAAGAACAAGTTACGTACTGCATTAGAGTCATCCCAGGGCTGGAAACCGGGGAGTGACACGAAGGTATTGTTCCACATCTGTTTGAAAGCTTGGCGTAAAGCCTTGGGGAATTCATTGAGCACGACGAAGGTAAACTTGAGGTAATTTAATTGCTCGTTTGTGAGAGGTTGTAAAGCCATTCTACTCAAAGGGTCTCGCGGAATCCCGCTCAATACATCGTTTTACTTATGCCTTCTCCAGTTAAGCCTGGGGAAATAAAAATCACAGAGCTGAATGTTAATTCCATAAGTTCCGTGCTATTCATAATGGATTGTTTCTCTTTACAAATGTTTCCTTTTGATTTTTAAAGAGTCACTGTTAAGGACATTAGCCAGAAGGCTCATTTTTTGATTGATTATTGATTAGTTCACTAATTTCAGAATGATCTTAGATAGCCACATAGTTACAATGCTTATCTGTTTTTCTGTATTTCTATTGGTTTTGTAATCGGACCTTTCAGCGTCACCACGCGCATATAAAAGGCAAGTTTAGCGTCCCTTTAATCAGTTCTTCGTAAGTTTTGAATAGCCTTGGTAAACTTTCGCCCTTTCGTGTTCTCAACCTCTGGCACAAGCGGGACCAATATGTGAGTACCTTTGTAACTTTGTTTTTTCTTTTTCAGTCTTTTCAGTGTTGGACGACACTATACAAACAAATATTGCAATGATCTCTATGGATTTAAGATTTAAAGGCCAAATTCGTGCCAATTTGCGAGTCAGTGAACGCCCATCATTTAGATAGAACAATGGACTGTTTATCAGCCACCAAAATTCTTTCAATTTGTTTCGAAACTTTTGTTCTGTTTTACTTGTATTCTTAATCTCGTTATAGACGTTAGAACCCAGTATTTGCCACGCGATTCTTTGATTATGTATTCCGCGGCTTTGCATTAGATTGATAGAACTTCGTTGTATTGTTGTTTCAGTTTACGATCGATCGTTCGATAGATTGATTGACTGTGAGAATAATCGTTATTTTCGTCATTGATTGTGGTTCGTGGTCGATTGCCTTTCAATAATAAAGATTCGTGCAAACAATCAACTTTGGTTTGTCATTTCGATCAGTAAACTAGCCCCAAACACCTCGTTAACCGCGTTTTGGAGCGACACGCCCTTCAACTTGAGAATTTAGATTTTAGTCGCCCCAAACGCTACAGTCACCTTAAATCTTGCTTTGTGAAGCACTTTGGTCGACCAGTTTGTGAACTATGATTCCCAACGTGCCTCACACGCCGGCAACGGTTGAAGCTCAAGGACTTCAAGAAGAAACCGAATCTCCAGACGTTCAGCTCTTAGTTCACAAATAGAAATGCTAGATTAGGTATTTTCGATGGAAATTTCTAGACCTATAGTCTTTTGTGACTGCTAAATTGCAATTCTATAAAGGACTTTCGTGCGAATGTTTTTAATTTAACTGGGCTCTATTACTAGCTGCTTTTCGAAAAATGAGCACGCAAAGACTACTTGAGAGAGAGCGGCGGAAATAAAGCCTACAATTTAAGCAGTTATTCGAAGATACGAGAGATTTAGCCAGGTGGTGTCATAGTTAGTAGAGGGAGCTGGTTAGGAAGCGCAGCGAACTTCAAAGAGCGCTCCTATTGTTTGCTGGATGAACTTGAACGTACCCTCATCCATGCGTGACCGTGCACACAGACTTTGTCAACATGGCGGATAGTACGGACTTTAGCGAACTCTATATCTTTGGAGATGATTTTGATGCGATCTTAAGTATTTTGGAAGAAAATGGGCATGATGACCTAGAAAGTCATTTTACTGAAGTAAGTTCAAAATGTGTCTCAGTTAAGTAATAATTTAGCTATAAACTGTGGTGTTTTGACTGCAGATTTATCGATGGCGTATTACAGTACAGCGTTGTGTTGGGATGTAGTGCTAACCCCGATTTATGCTACAGTTAGAAGTCAAATGGATCTTTATATAGACAATTGCAACACTTAAAGGATATTGATGGTTTTTCAGGTTGAACCAGATCTCGAGCGAATTTTGTCAGAAAATTTGCAAAGTAAGGCTAGCTTGAAACGTTACATCACTGTCAAGCACCCAGCTCAAAAGTCAGGTGATCGCTAAAAATACCGAACAGCAACAGTATTTAACCCCGGAAATCTACACTCGAATCATGGGAAAGGCGAAAGAAAAGATATTGATCAGTAAAATCTACACAGCAAAGATGAAAGTACAAGTAAACACTTTCTCAAGTCATGTAAACACCGCAAGTGGTGAATTTACTCTAATCCAAACCCTATACAACAACCTCGTACGAACCGGCAACGCAGAAAAATTTTACGCTGAATTTCACTCCACCTTTGTCTATAATTCAGATACCTATTTTGTCAATTTCAGTTGTCAAAAAACATTGCTACACTTTTGTCAACAAAAGTCGCTGACTGTCTACTGGTACCCAGCAAAGAAAGCAAGCATACACAAGTCAAGAAAAATGAAAATTGCAAACAGAAGCTCTCCAATATTGAGCTATCAGGTCTACAATATGTTGGTGGTTCTGTTCTTCATAACCTACACTGAAGACTATCTCAAGCAAAGGTCAAAACTCCTGAAATTGAGCAGGCAATGTCCATCCTAAAAGCTGGAAAAGCAGATGACAAGTTAGAAAACCACAACCTTATTAGCAGTCTGAATCGTGGTGGTCTATCGGCTGTAACAAGAGGGGCTCAACTTATTTTCGAAAGAAGTGAACATAATTTTAGACTTGCTTCTTCTGATTCGACAACACATAAAATCGATTGTAGTAGTGTTGTTTCTAAAACTGTGGCTGATGTGGATGTTGTCACTGCATATAGTAACTGGCTGTCCAATAGTGAACTCGAAATCCCCGGCAATGTTGGCAAAGATATGTTACACAACATAGTATGGCTGTATACAAGGGTGCGCTCTTATCCATTTGCTAAGGATATTATACAAAAACACAAGGTCAGAGCAAAGCAGCTGAAAAGCAAGGGTCTCCGCAGAGAAATCGGCCGAGCTTCCCATGCTTATAATAATGAACAAGAACAACAAGATTAAAGAGCATGTCAATGTAACTTTACTTTCAATTAATAGTTCCTATGTACATATTACAGTGATAATATGATCACATTATGTTTCAGTTAGAATGAGTGAGTGGTTTTGCCTTACAGTAACTGTGAAAAATGGGTAACAGTATGGTCAAATGATACCCATTCAATTCACTGCTTTCTTGTCTCTATTTGTGTCTATTTTGTCTCTAGAGTGCAAATAATATATCTTTGAAATAGTAAGACTCAAAGAGACAACAATTGAATCATCTTGGTCTAACTATTTTCACTCTATTGCATAGTAAGTTATACAATTTGAGGGTTTTATTGTCATCAGTCATTGCAATAATTTGCAATATAATAACAGTAACTAGTATAGATGTTGGCAGTTTTGAATATTTTGTATTACATTTTAAATTAAACATATGCATTCATTTATGTAATGCTTGCTTGTGGCGAAGTACTTTTCTAGAACTATAAACAATATTGTACGATAAAGTCATTAAAGAGACATTTATTATCTCACGAAAGATTTCCTTCGATACAGACCACTGGGTGTGGACAACGTTTAACAAAATGGTTGAGATGACTTATCGAATTACAGTAAACTTATTACTGCGAGTTCTGGTTTCGATAAAACTCTTGTGCCTCCACACTCAACCGAAATGCACAGTAAGACTTTTCAACCCTAAATAGGCTTTCCTCCATGACATGATGGCAGCTGTGACAGGGAACTTTCAAGATTGGGAATCTTTCTCATGATTCTATGGTGGTGTGCAGCCAACGACCGCGGTACGTTCTGACTCAAATGTCGCTTCGAGCTCATTCCATGAGACCTTCGCACCAGTGAGGTTGAATGTACTTGCACTGGGAAAAAATTACTTTGAGCTGGTCTTGCTTTCCACTTGTTCGTTTGAGCTGTCTTTCTGTGCTGTCTCACCCGGTGAATTCCCAGCACTGCCAAAATGCCGGCGTTCCTTTGCTCACTGCTGCTTATGCAAAGTCGGGGATGAACAATTTTTATTCAAATTTGTTACAGTTTCTCCGCTATAGTAAGGCGAACTTACGAACTTCGCGCGAGCAAGCAAGCTAACTTTGCAAGCAAAAAGTCGGAGAAATAGCGAGAGATGCGATACATTCCGTGATTAATCCTATCTGTGAGAAATAATTAGGTGCACTTTTTGGTCAAGTGGAAGTAAGGAATAATACAAAAAAAAAGTTAGAGAATGGGGTGCGATTCACATGGTTTATACCCCCGAGAAAAGCATCATTGAGTGTGAATAGGTACCTGGAAAAAATGTCGGGGATAAACTGCAATGTAATAGCATCCCGTCCTGGGGGATTAGGTGGATAGATGGGACACTAGATTGCAGATCTTATTCTTCACTTTCAAGTATTCTCTTATTCTTCACTTTCAACTTGAAGTGGACTCATACATTTTAAGGCTCTTTTTGCAATAGAGATGTTGTGGATCAACTGTTGTTATCTAGCAACTCGTGTAACTTGTGCCTAGCTTTTAAGAACCAGACACAGTTGATTTTTGAGACAGGAGTTGTTAGGGGCCCAGTGATTATTCTAATAGTACAGCTGTGTTTTTGTTATGTAGTGTGGTTAATCTGAAACTCCACAACAAAACCAATTTGTGCCAGAGGACCTGTGTTTCCTAAATCTAAATGTCTAATTAGTAAAGGGTAATACAGCCCATCTTTCAGCAGATATGAACACCCACCCATCCCACCCCAGAGGAAGACATCCACCACACACTAATCTCCTTCGTGGAAAATTAACGTCTTCTATCCCTAACCCTACAGGAGACAGGGCCTATATAAAATTGGTTCATATCTCTAAATGGGGGCTGCAGAGTGTAGTGTAATTTTGGGCATTGAGTGCGCAACAGTTTCTGGATGAAAATTATAGCTGCTATCTTTGATTTGAAGGTTGGGGAGAGCATGAGATTTGTACCGAGGGGGGCGACTGACAGTAAAAAGAAATGGAGGGGGGAGATGATGGGGCAATGAAAGGTTGGGACTTCTGAAAAGTTTTGTTAAAATATAATATTTTGGTTACAAATGCTCTCTGTTACAATTTCAGTTTAATACCATCACTTTACAAAGAACTTAAAGCTGAAGGGGTTGAGTTTTCTGACAGCAGAGTAAGTTTATTTTAATGAGTGTATGGACAGTTCTTTGGGACTAAAAAAAGTGGTCTCTATGGAGAGGTGGCTGTAAGCAGAGGTTCAACTGTATTAATATTTGGCACCTGTTAGAGAAACCTTTGTCCTGCATTGCTAATAATGAGTAATTAAGGGCCTGCTCACAGAGAGCTTGTTAAACATAGGTACATAACTGCATATAAATGTCAGGGATAAATGTTTATAATGTTTACATTGCTGCTAACTGTAAAAATTAAATACCCCCAATGCCGGCAACACTGCTTTTTAACAGTGTGCCATAAAAGTGTTCAGTGGGTTATTAAGGACTTCTTGTTTCCATATTTAATGGCAAGTTCATAGTTATCATGTTGGGTTGTTTGCAAGTAGTTTTGATCCAGTAATATGAAGATTATAGTAGTTTTTTTCTTTGAATGCGCGTGAAGTAATGTTCAATTTTTGCCCCTTTTACTCTTAAATCTCAGTATCATTTTTTCCCACTTTTGGCAGAACAACTCGTATTGTTAGCTCTGAGAATATTCAAGTATTCATGCAAAAAGTTGTATCATAGAAGTGTAAATACAACTTACAATAAATAATTTTTTACAGCAATTGAGTTGTCTCTTCAAGAAGCAGAAGCAGGCAAGGTACAGTTTAAAACATCTTGAATTTCTAACGTTATTGAGATTGGAAATAGTTTGAAATTATGTTTAACTTTATTACAGTTATCTGTGTATTACCCAAGTTGCTCAGCAATATTTTTGGTTGAAGATCAGTTCTAGTATTTTTTAGGTAAATTGAAACTATTCTAGCATCAAACTAACGCACTGTTGTTACAGTCAAACTAAGTGAATTGATTATTTGATTATTGAACCCGCTAGCCATTTCACGAATGCAATAATGAAATGATTATTTGAATATTGAACCTGATAGTGGTATCCATTTTGAAAAGGCGTGGATCATCGTTAAAATTAAAAGTCCTTTTCTGAAGTCCAATAAGATTGTTCTATTTGAGAAGGAATCCTGAAAATAAACAAACTGCACTGTAAAAACACTGTGAAAATATGGCGTCCCATTGGGGCCAAAATTCAACATTGCGATTTGACATTGTACTTTTAGTATTCTTCCTTATTTCATGATTGGACATTCAAGTTTTTATTCCTTATGAAACTTTTTCCGATTCCACATTGTCTTTTTTATCACATGATGCAATGTAGGCCCGGAATGCGTGCGGGGGAACGGATACTACACTGGTTTTGGGAAATCTCTCCTGTATTAAGCACTACCACTCGTGCTTGATCTTACCTCACAAGAGGCTGGTCGTATCGTCATTGTTGTCTCACCATTGGGGTAAGCCTTATGAACGACCAAGTGTCCCATTTGAGGGAGCTAGGGCTAAAAGCAGGTAACATAAGTTCACTTGAGGGTGGTAAACGCACTCGTGTTGAAAGCGGCGAATATTCCTTAGTTTACGGATCCCCTGAAGCGTGGTTAAAGAACGAACGCTGGAGATTTATGCTAACGAATTCTGTGTATTCCATAAAACTCTGTGCCATTGCTGTCGATGAAGCGCATGTTGTAAGACAGTGGTAAGTGTTTAAATAAAAATGAGTCTGCACCAAAATGTTATGTTACATGTATGTTTTAAATTAAGCAGTATAAAGGAAAGGACAATAAGAATGTAAATA